CCAAAGCAGCTCAGGTTTCCTGGCCCTCACCAGAGACTGGCTTGGCTAGAAAGGGGTGCTCACAGTGGAAGGAGAAGACCCCCTGCTCCCCAAATCCCACATCCCAGGGATACCTGAGACAGGGGTGTCTGTAGGAGGGAAATCCCCACGGTCGTGCCCCCCAGGACTCCTCACTCACGTCTGGGTTGTGTCTGAGAGCTGTGAACACGCAACAGGTCCCGGGCTGCCTCTGAGCTCCTCGGAGCAGAAATGTCCCCCCAGAGCATCCATGAACATGGGGTGCCCCAGGGGTCCCTTGGCTGTGTCCCCTCGGTGCAGAGCAGTTTTCCAGCCCAGGACCTGGCTGAAGCTCCATGAAAAACCCAGTGGCCCCCATGCCCATGGCTGCAGGGCACTGTCATTCTTCTCTCTTCTCTTCCTCTTCTCTGCCCCTTCTCTTCCTCTTCTCTTCCCCTTCTCTTCCTCTTCTCTTCCCCTTCTCTTCCTCTTCTCCCTTCTCTTCCTCTTCTCTTCTCTCCTCTTCTCTCCTCTCTTCTCCTCTCTTCTCTCCCCTTCTCTCCTCTCCTCTTCCTCTCTCTTCTCTTTTCTCTCTCTCTTCTCTTCTCTCTCTCTTCTCTCTCTCTTCTCTCTTCTCTTTTTTCTCTGCCATCAGGATTTAAATTAAAGCTTATCACCAGCTGGGAGCGAATGAACCCTGCCGCATGTTTTACGGGGTGCCATCTGCCAGGCAGGAGCAGAGACCCCACCACGGGGCTGTCTCCCTTCAGCAGCCTTGGGGACACCTAGAAGTCACCCTGTGCAGGTGGGGGGACCCGGGTGGGACAACCCTGGGGACAGGCTTGGTGTGTGTGGGGGTGACACACGCAGAGCCCCCCGCGTTGAGACTCAGCCGCCTGGCTGGAAAAGAGGGGCCGGTGGCAAGGGAAGGGCTTATTGAAATTATTTAATTAGCCTTGTTTTTTAAACACGGGCTGGGAGCAGCCTCCGCAGCAGAAGGAATTGTTATTAAACGCCAGCCCCGCGGCGGGCAGGCCATGTGTGCGCGGCGGAGCCGCTTGGCTGCCAGAGAAAGACGTTATTGTTGTCATCCTGCC